TCAACGAACGTCAATAATACTTCTGACCGCAGATCAATTACACACACTGACTATCACACATTACATTCCCCTCTTTTATATACCAGCGTACCCTATTTCTAGTAAGAACTTGAACATTCGCCAAAGTACATGATAGTTCTAGAAACGTTGCGTCACGGTGGTCATGTGACTCGCTGACGCAACAGTTTGTAACCCATCTTTGAAAAACCGATGAAATTTTAACATTAGCGCATAGTTTTCGATGAAGTGAAAATGAAAGTAATGTTTTAAAATTAAGTTTCCCAAAACCGGCTGTTTTACTCGAGAGAATTTAATGTATTCAAACATTTGTGGAAAAGGAAACTAACCTGATCTCCTCGTCATATTCACAAAACAACGTTATTGAAAGGTTTTCTTCAGTTTCAATGTATAATCATTTCTATTTTAAGAATATCTGCAGATAATTACCATTTACTAAGCTTAAATTGCATAAGAAACTGAATGTAATGCTTATAGTTTCTGTGTACTTGTTAGTGTCTCGTATACTACATATTTAAAATTACTGTAAAGTGTAATCACTTGCGTTCACATATTGGATTCCTGATCAAACAGTATCATTGGTAGCATACACTAAAATATATAATTTAAGCGAAATATTTACAAATGAATCATGTTGTCAAGGAGAGAAGAGAAGGTTTTAGTTCTTCATCAACTTCAAGTGTCTTCAATGAATAGTGCATTGTATAGTAATTTGACCATCACTGTTTTTTAAGGAGTGTGCTATATTGGATGATGGTTTTAAAAAGTTTTACCTTTTCTGTGATGTGTTTTAGTATGACAATATAAAAAGCTAATATAACATTTAACATGATTCATATTGTTCTTGCTCATGTATTGGTATACACACAGAGATATATATTATATACATATATACACACACTTTAAATAAAATAACTTGAGGGTAATTATATGTAGCTTATATTGTGCAAGTTAACCTTACATTTAAAAATCAATAACAACAGTGGGTGACAGATGGTGTCTAAGCCCAAACGAAACTTATCAGCAAAAGAATAATATCAGCTGGTTTGGTGAAATGAGAGTTTGTTGCATTTCATTCAAAGGCACAAAAAATCAGATATGCCAAGATGAAATACAGAAGAATCCAGTTAGTGGATATCAAATAAAAGGAAATATGAAATGGGAAGAGAGATATTTGAATTGTGAATAAAGAATTCGAACAGAGTGTATGGTAACCAGTGTGTGGAAAGTTTGAATAATACATGAAATATACACCAGGTGTCATGCAGAGCCCAGTTATCAATAACTGACAAAGTATGATTGAAATACACTTGGGAAAAACAAATCTGAAACGTACTGAGTACTGAAAAGCATAAATAATGAAAACAGTGGAGAGAATATGCCCAACTCAGGTCAATAAAAGTGGGAAAACTTCTTTGTTTTAAGAAAATATTAATATTAACTGTGAAAAAGCATAAGATAAAGCATTTTTAAAATGACTGATTTTCTGATAAGTAAAGTACAAATTTGTTTCCATGTAATTTGAGGTCATTTTTTTTTCATATACATTGAGTAATGCCTTTTACCTTCTCAAGAATCTCTTAGGAGAGCATTTTTTGAGACCATTGAAAAATGTTCAAATAGTAATATGCAATTGTCTTTCTGATTGAAACTTTGAAGCAATTGAAGTGTAACATAGGCTGAAATATGGATTTCTATGTTTTTAAGACATGATCCATAATTTAAAATCAAGATGTTAATATTTTTCTCAGAGATTCAGTATAGCACTTACAAGATGTTTAACAACACTGTGTAGAATGAGTGTATTATTGAAATGTTGATGATTTTATCTACAATTGAACATTATTCTTTTCAAATTTGCAATATTCATTTGAAGTGATTTTAAGTGAAAGTAAATAAATAGATACATCTTAATCTTTTTTCACTTCTCAAAAACTCCCAATTCTGAGAAAAAATACTATGATTGTATGTTTGGAATAATTAACTCTGTTATTTGTAGTTTCCTTTATAATAACTGTGTAAGAGCTTTGCTATTGAAAATGCAAAAGTACTTGTGTGTGTGCACTATCATTGGCATGTTTGTAATAGATACAAGAATGTGATATACAAATATTATGTCTGTAACCATTTCTTAACTTACAATATCAATATACCTTTAGTCAGGTAATTAGTTAAATTTTTAATACAGCTCACTATGCTCAGTTAGGTGTTCTATGTGAATAGGACATTCCTCACTGTGAGGAATAGAAAAGAAGTGTTTATTTGTAAGTGGCCAGTATACACTAGATAAGTTTTTAATTACTTTTTTTTTAGGATCTTCAGAATGCTTGAATATAGTTCCAAGCAATGTTAGTGCTTAATCAGATTATCTTCTAGTAAAGATGACAAATACCAGTGAGTGAGTGTTGCTTAATGACTTATTCAGAAAAATGAACATCAGTCAGTTAATTTTTTTTATTATTTGTAAGAACATGTGAGAAGCTCTAAACAATTTTGTTTAGTTTGAAAGAAGTCGGGAGTTCCTATTTCAGAGACTTAACCTTTCATATTTGACTTATGAAACTTTCATAACTTTCACTTATTTACCAGTGAATAGTGACTTTGCTCTTCTTATTTATGTAATTAATTGAAGGATACAAATGACTATCAATCCCAAATGTAGGTGCTTTGTGCAAGCTGTGTCTGTGATTATTTTTTTTGTACAAAAACATTTATGCCCTTCTCTTTCTTGTGCTTAAAACGTTGAAAGTATCACCACTATAAAAATATGAAATTTTTACGTGCTTGGAATGTAAAACATTAATGAACTAAACATCTAAGAACTTGCATGCTTGAGATATAATTAAAAGTACAAATGCACAATATGCAAAAATAAATACAATATGAAAAGTTAAGATTTTCTGTGTATAAGGTGTAAAATTGTATATATTTACAAAGAGTAAAGATATGATAGAAGTGTATACTTCTGTGCATGTAGTAGTTAACTTCCTTTTAAAATCTTTAATAAATGGCCTTTTCATATATCTTACATTTGTATTAACATAACATAATGTTTAGGGACAACAAGGGATCTATTGGTCCATCTCAGCTATCCTATCTACTAAACTAAACTAAAACTATCACAAATAAATTAATATATATATATTTAAAGCCAGCCCATATTATTCATATAGTTATCAAGCTTTCTCTTAAACTCACTTAAATTTACTGCCTCCACAACATATGAAGGCAACACATTCCAGAGGCCAACCAACCTGTTAGAAAAATAAAACTGTTTTAGCTGAAGTTGACTTCTGCCTTGCCAAAATTTATATTTGTGTCCCTTAGTCCTACTATTCTTGCTCTTTAGTATGAAAAAAGATGATGCATCAACACTATCAGTTCCCTTTATAATCTTAAACACCTTAATCAGATTCCCTCTAACTCTTCTTTTTTCAAGAGAAAACAATTTCAGAGATCTTAATCTCTCCTCATATGATAACCCCTCAGGCACCATTCTAGTAACCCTTTTTTGGACATTTTCCAACAAGTTGATGTCCTTTCTAAGGTAAGGAGCCCAAGACTGAACACAATACTCCAAATGTGGTCTGACCAGTGACCTTTACAATGAAATTATAACCTTTTTAGACTTGTATTCAGTATTTCTGTAGATACAATATAAAATACTATTTGCCCTACCACTAGCAACAGTACACTATTTGGATGGCTTAAGAGACTGATCAACTTCACCAATATCCCTTTCTTTCATGGCACTGTTAAGGTTATTCCCATCCAAATATTACTTATACTTCAACCCACATGTATTATCTTGCATTTATTATAATTAAAACCCATCTGCTACTTATTTGCCCAACTCACTAAATGTTCTAAATCTTTTTGTAAAGCAGCAGCATCCTCGTTCATAGCTAGTAACACTCAAGACTTTAATATAATCAGAAATTTAAGTATTTTTCTGACCATTCTTTCATCGATGTCATTGATATAAATCAAAAAGAGCAAAGGCTCTGAGACTGAGTCTTGAGGTACCCCACTTGTGATGTTAATCCAGTTTGACTGAAAACCATTTATAACAACTCCCTGCATTCTTTCATCTAGCCACTGTTCTACCCAATTAGCTAACTTACCCCCAAATCTTCACCCTCATTCTCATATACTTAAGCAGTACCTTTACAAAGAATGTCAAAAGATTTTTAAGGCAAGATGTTTCCTTAGTGAAACCATGTTGACTATCCAATAAAATTCTGAACTTTGTCAAATGTCTTTGCATAGCATCTTTTATCAGACTTTCCAAAATTTTTCCCACAACTGATGTAAGACTAATAGGCCTATAATTACTGAGACAATTTTTATCACCTCCATTTCTTATACTTGTAGCAGTACCATAGTAACAATTAAGCCTACTCTTAGAACTACTATACTTATTTCCTATGTTAAACTTTTCTCTACATCTTTTTTTTTTTTGGCATTTAGTTTATCCTGGGCCTCAACACTGTCTAGTAGTTTTAGTTTAAATATTCCTTTACAGCTGAGTTAAATGTCCTTGCAAACAAGCCAAATCCTACCTATTTAAATGTTGTCATCCATTCCAAAAAGCTGACTTCTTCCATTGAACTGATCCTACAGTCCAACTACCAACCAGCCTATCTGCTCATCCTTACAGATTAACCTAAGCCTATCATTTAGCCCTAGTGACCTACTCATAATTTCATCCCCACAATTAATTCTTGGCAGTATCACTGATGCAATTAAATTATGGCCTCATTTGTTAAATGCCTTTATCAGTCCTCTGTACTTATTAATTAACTCCTCTGACCTACTTTTCCCTACATCATTAGCTTTACATGCACAACAAAAACTCCATCATTGCTAGCCCCTTTATTTATATCTCTTACTCTGTCAGTTATATCCTCCACCTGTGCCCCTGAGTAGCATAATCTAATTCTTTTCTCCCTGTTTACCCCACAGACTATTCTATCCACGTGCCT